TTTCCATCCCCTGTGTCAGTAAAGTCAAGAGTATACCCGGGTGCTTGCATGTGTGAGATTTTGGAGTTTGACTCTGCTCCCAGGGAGGGTTTTCTCTGTATTAGCAACCCTCACAGGGGGAAAGGGCCAGACGAACCGAGTGAAGTGGCTGATAACTGAGAACCGTGGTGTTTGCGTTTCGGTAGCTCCAGTCTGATCCCGTGGCCTGAGCACCCATTAGTGGTGGGCGTGCGGTACCATGCCGGTTTAACTTGCATCCCCTTCTCACATGATGCAATTGCTTAAGCGTTTTTAATTACGAATAGCAATGAATCAGGAGGAAAACAAGGTTTCTTGCAAATGAGGAATCCATAAATCAAGGATAAACAAAGCTGCCTCTGGTATGTGGAAGACATTTTTTTCCCATGACAGTGTTTCGAGCCAGTGAGTGAGTGTCTGAAAATTAATGATGCAGATGTAATAGATGAATATTAAGCGACAGGAGCATACAATAAAATTATAAATAAAGAAAATGTAATACAGTTTATAGTACTGACTTCCCCGCGTTTCCAGCAGTGGGCAGCTATAGAAAATGATGTTAAATTTAAGACGCCATTTAAATATGTGTAATTAAATACGCAGTTCAGGAAAAATTTTAATTGTTGAATCGTTGAAAATTTTAGTGGTTATACCTTTGGTTAATATGTCCTTTGACGTAGTTTTTACTGTATTCTAAGTGGAGCTTAATTTACATTAGTTTCATGTTTTCTCACACTTTCAGTATTTTATTAAATTCCTAATTGCATTCCTTTTCCCCCCTCTCTGTTTGAAAGCACTGAAGCACACGTAACACGCTACATCTTAAAGAGGTTTTCCCACTTTTCCTTCTCTCTCCACGTCCGCCACGAGGAGGACGGAGCGTTTAGGGCTGTGTTTGGGGTTGGAGAAGCCGCTGTGGTGGTTTGTCAGTTGGTGCTGATGATCCACTGGAAGGGGCTTCTCGGGTCAGACCTCCCCGGGGAGCAAACCCGACCCCGTGAGGTGAATTCCATGGTCCTGGTCTGGCAGAGTGTGGTGCTCAGCTCAGGGGCTGAGGTGAGTAACCGGTAAGGCTGAGGATGTGAGCAACACCCCCGTGTCCTTGGCACCACAGCAAAGGATGGATTAGTCCCAAAAGAAAAGATTGCCCAGTCTCTTCCAGAATTAGATGTACAACTTCTCAGAGCTCTCTCCTTTGAGAAGCACCATGTGTTAGGTTTGGGTGGGTGTTTAATGGCCGACTAAAGGCTTCTCAAAGTAATTTGTTGTCACAGAAATGTTCCTTCTCCTTCGGAAGAATGTTCTGCACGACAGCTTGCTCTTGTCTTTCCAGACAGGATTTTGTCTCCTTCATTTGCAAAGCTTTGTTCAACTTAACCTCTTCCATTTCCAAACATCCTCTTATGTTTTGATACAGAAATCAATTAATCCCTGAAGTGTCTTCATACCTTTGTAAGTACTGTACTGTTATTTTTTAAATGTAAATATTTACTAACTAGAAGATGGCAGGTTTAATACTGGACGTGACTAGGTAACTCCAAAACCTAATGATTCTGTTCTTTTACTGTCATTAATTTAATGCTTGAAATAATTTCTTTTTTTTTTTTTTTAAAAAAAAAAGTAACTGCAGATTACCTAAAATTGCAGCAACGACTTTAGCCACCACTTAGATGGCTCTGGGACTGCTATGCTGCTGCTTGCTCCTCCCCGTGCCTCCTCTTTCCCCTTCTCTGCTCAGGACTCCGGTTCTGGCTATTTTAAACTGTTCCTAGTGTATTCTCCTGAACTAGTTAAGACTCAAATTCTGTGACAATCAACTAATAAAGCAAATAGTTGAAATTTATTGTTGATGAATAGTCTTTAGTTTAAAAAAGAAATAAATAGTGGCAGGTGTTGTATGTTGACACCTTCTATCAGTTAGACAAATACGGTTGCATCTTTGCTTACGTATTTGCTAATAATATTTTCTTGTTGCTTGTTATTAATGTTAGTGGATGTTACTACTGAAGAAAGAGTCTTCTGTGGTCAGTGGTTTCAGGGCTGTTTCTGTTTATTCTAAATATTTCCTTGTGTAATTGTACAACGCAATTAGGAATGAACATAGTTCTGGAGCCTGGATTAAGATTGGCAGATTAGTGAAATACCCTGATGTCAGCAAACCTGTTAACTGATAGAGAAGCTACGCATTTGTCTTGGAGAAAAATATGGAATAAGTCCTTATTTTTAAAATCGCTGTTTCTAAAACGCGTTTGGTATGTTAATTCAGAAGGATGTCCAGAGTTGGTATTTTTAAAAACACGGTGGTTACGGCTGGGGAAGAACCGTACGACGCCTTCTCTTTTTGAAGGAGCTCTGTTGTGGTGTAATCAATAAAACCTCCCGTGATGCGCACCAGGAAATAATTAAACTTGACCTATTGACTTGTAAATATGAGTAGTTTATTCTTTAGGATTAGAAGGAGGGGAGTTTGTCTTTGGAACCTAATCCTTCTCTGAGTGTTGGGTTGTTGTAAAGTGCTTGATGGACCAGAAATGATGGTGCCAAGAGCTTGACCTTTGTTACGAGCAGTGTTCTTTTCGTTACTGCAGTTTCTTAATTAGCAAATGTTGCAACATAAGCAGAGGGGAAGCTTGACAGTAGCTGCATTTCATGGATGTGTTTATGTAAAACAAAACAAAAAGAAAACCTGCCCTCAACCTCCCGTAGTTTGATAAATCATTGCTCTACAAAAAAAATACTGTACTTGAACAACCTTCAGCAGAAAATTGTAGCTTTTTGCTAATGATTGGCGATATAGCAATAGTGGAAATCCATTTTGTGATAAAACCGATAATGATTTATTTCTGGTTTTAAAAGCTGCAGAAATTGAAACTTCCAGTTGAACGTATTTCCTTTAGAATTTTGTCAGGGGGAAAAAAATATTGTCTTTACTTTTCTATTCTATGGAATAGAATTAGAACCATTTCACTTTTTTTTTTCCCCTTCAAGTTGCAAATGATACCTTTGCAAAGTTGGTTTCACTTTTGGTTTTTGTTTTCTGGAGAAATCATAACATTGAATTTCACTTTGTCTTGAAGTTAGAGCTTATGCTGAGTTTACGTGGAAAAACGACATTTCTGTCTTTTGTGAACTAAACTAACTTTGTTGTAACAGTGGGAGAAGTTTGGCCATTCTTTTTGATGGATTGCAAATATACAGGAGTGTCAGGCCTGGATCACATGCTGTGTGGAAAAAGCAGGAAGGGAAGGCATGAAAATTTGAGCTATGAGTTGCTTACTATAGACGTGTGAAAATGCCAGTTTTCTGTGTGAAACTTGTGCTTCTCTGGCCTGCTATAGCACGGGGTGAGAAAATTTCAGTTGTCATTTATGACTCTGTGGCAATCATGTAATTTAATTTTTTTTTTTTTTTAGTGTACCATTAGCAAAATAAAAACTTGACAGTTTAAACTGTCATGCTCCCGTTAATTGTAATCCTTTATCCTAACCGGATTACACTGATAATTTTCTTGCAATAATCTGAAACTTCACATGAACAACTTCAGTTTAGTTCCTTAAATTACTTTGCTGAAAATGCACATATCCTACAAAAGTTTTTTCTAAGCTTCCCTAACATATAGTTTATAATCGTGAGACTTTTAAATGCTTTCTACTGTGTTTCAGTGGATATTTGCTGCCGAGATGACTGTGTAACTCAAATGTTTTGTGTGGCTAAAGTTTCAGATGTACTTTCCAAATGTAACCTTAGTGAAAACAGATGGAGCTGACCCACTTTTTTAGGATTTGTCTCCACACTTGTCTGAACCTCCTTCTCATTCACACATTAATCCCTGCTTTGAGTTAGCTGATTCTTCAGTTATTTCACCTGCTGGTACGTGTTAAAGCCTGATTGCTGTTGGCAGTCTGAGTTTGTAACACAGCAGCTACAACTACCGAACTGCTAATCCAGCCATGATGTTGTTAATCAAGTAGGGTTTGGTTTTTGACGTCTGCATGGGATAGCTTTCACTTGAGCTTGGCGGAGAGGGCTTGGTCGAGCAGACCTAACTCAAGCTAACAGGTCTGTAGTGAAGACAAATTTACTTAATATGTGAAGCCAGGTATTTTCAATTCCATGGCTTACTACAGACACAAATTAAGTGATTTAAAAGGTTATTGGTCTGTAACACGCCCTCTACTTCTGAGTAACTACCTCGGCTCTTTTTTGCTGGTAGTTCCAGCACTTGCATATCCGCTTGCGTGGCACCTTCTCCGGGGTTGAGTCCCCTGTTCTGAAGTGTCCTGAAGGTAGTTGCCTTTTAGAGTTGACCAGCTGAGTCTCATCAGACTGCTTTTAGCCTCTTCCCTCAGTCACTGTATTAGGCTGCCCATCACGTTTTGTTGCATTTGTGTTTTTTCATATTTCTTAAACAGAACCCGTCACAACGCTCCTGTGCCCCTTGTGAGGGTACGAGAAGCAAGGTAAAGACAGAGCTCACATGTTAAGGCTCAGTTTTAGAGAAGGGCTTCTCTGTCCTCCTGTTTGCTGGGGGGATAAAGGGGAAACATCGAGTTGAGGGCACTCTCATTAAAATTGCTGCATGCAGAGGAGCACTTTGGAGTTTCTGGCATCTATGTATATTTGTTTTTACAAAGCCTGTTTGATGCTTAATTAAAATTTACTAATGTTTTGTTGTCAACACTGAAATGCATTGTCAGTGGCTTGGAGTATCTGCAAGTAATGATTTTACAAAAGCAAATTCTTTATATTTAGGCTTTATTTAGCAGGCTGTGATGAGAGGTGCTGAGTAAATTAAAAAAAATTATGATAACAGTACTCTGTAGTTAGAATTTTTCACACAATAGATTTAATCCATTTTTCTTTGTCCTTTTTTGCTTTTAAGGATATTGTAACATGCACCAGTTCCAATTATTGCTGAAAAGGTAAAATAGGCTGTTCATCTCATACTTTTCCTTTTGCTTTTTTTTCCCATCCCACTCTAGCTTTGGCAAGCAGTCTGGAGGAAAACGAGGATGCGAATGTATCATATTGGAGCCTTCAGAAATGATTGTGGTAAGACAGATTTTTTCAAATGTATTTAAATCTATTGCTGGTTTCAGCAAATTCTTTCTGTCTTATAGCAGAAAGCTTATTGTAAAGTATTCTATAAAATTGCAGCAAAATTGCCTTGATTTCAATTATACCTATGGCTGCTATCGTAACAGCAATAGCTATGTAAATTTAATCTAGATGGGTAAATGGTGATGATGATTAGGTCATTCTTTCTAAAATTATGCTTACTTGAGTTTCAAAAGCCTACCAGTTACGGCTGAGTTGAGCATTCCTGAGTCAGGCAACGACAGACTGCTATCCTGAATATTTTATTTACATCCCCACCCCCCCGTTTCATTGCTTCTCACCGGCCGTGCTGGGTCTGGTAGGCAAGGCCCTCTTAGTCCTAGCCTTTGCAGCTCCATATAGTGTGAAGGCTTTTAGGTAAGAGGAGAAGGGAATGTTTGAGTGCTTAGCCAAGCTTGAAGAATAAGGTTTTCAGCTTAGTTGTCATCAACCTTTGTGCATGTCCAGATTTCCTACTGCTTCTTCAGAACGTTTACTAGTACTACCAAGTTCATACGTGCCTAAAGGTTGTAACTCACCCCTTCCCAGGTTGATGTACACGTACTGTCAGCAGCTGGAATATTAGGACGGCTTCTCTGTAGTGCAGACCGACACTGTACCCTGGTAGTGTGGCTGGGGACACAGGAAGATCTCTTTCAACTTTGATCTTATGAAATGTTGCTAATGGAGCTGGAATAAAAATGCTTTTTGTTCTGAGAAGCCACGTATCTGTTAGCAGGCTTAGATCTCCGAACTGCTATTGATTTAGTTTCCTTATATCTAGATGTGGTAACACCATAAAACTAATGTTTGATGATGTCTCTTACTTGTTGAGTATGTGAATATTCAGCTTCTTTGAGAAGTCTGTTTCTCAGAGTACACTAACAGCTGTGGATGTCGGCGATGTCCTGTACCGGGTTCACTTGCTGTCCTTTGTGCCATTCTTTCTGTGCAGCGTCAGTCTGATTCTGCTCGTGGGCTTTGATAGCATCAGTAATGCGCTCTTTGCTGCAGCAGATCTTTTAGGCTACAGTCTTGCCATGTCATGAAGTAAGCGCAGGTGAGCGTGCGAGAAGCCTGTCAAGTCCTCTGGAGTGAAATAGTTCATTTGTGCGTTCCCAATTACCCAGTCTCTTCTCAAAGCTGGAGTTTTTAGGGGGAGATTTATGCCTTGAAGGATGCCACAGGACCGCTTGGGTGACGCTAGGTGCAGCCACATCACATGAATGCCCCAGGCACCCTGGTTTGCTGCTGCTGCTCAGTGTTTTTGCCTGTTACCTGCTGCTGCCAAGGCTTTGGCGTGCTGCGTGTGCCTGTGTCCGCTGCTGGGGCTGAGCCGAGCCTCACCTCAATGCTCCTGGCACCTTGTAGCACAGAATGACACACACTCACTTACCTGGTCATACACAGGCCTGTTGAATCTCTGTAATCCTTCAGGTTCATGTAACAGAAAGAAGAATTTGGTCTGTCTGGACGGATTTCACTAACAAAGCACCTCCACGACTCTGAGGTTCTCTGACGGGTGCTGCAGACACCACCAGACCTGGCGTGCTGCTTCTACCAACACCTGAGTGTGATGTAGCCGCTGGGCAAGATGTGTTATCACATGAAATTCTTAGGAAATACCTACATCCTTCTTTGGTCATACCACCATTGTTGTAAAAAAAAAAACCCAGGAAGATGCAAATAAGAGTAGCTTCTGTGCAGTGTGGGCTACCGGAGAGAAACTGACCTTCTTAAAATATTTTATGAAGAAATTGGGGTGTTTTGTGCATGTGTAACTCAGGTAGCTACAATTGTGATGAGTTGTTTTTTTTTCAGAGGAACACACTGTCAGTCTCTGGAGAAGCCAACGTTGGCCATGTCAGCAATGTCAAGAGCTGCTGGGTGTTCCTGGAGACAAAGCCTGGATAACTGTTCTGTGTATTTTAAACCTCTCGAATTTTCTGTAATTGTAGTTAAATGCTACTCGGAGCATAGAGGCACTTGAAATCCTTTACTGGAACTTCAGTGTATTTTTCTGTGGGAAAACTGGAGAATTAAAAGTGCTAGGTTTTTTTCCTTTATTATGTTTTTTTGTTCATGTTTTATAGGCGAATGTAGCTAAAAGTACTATTAACTGTCAGTTTTCTAGGTAGGACTTCAAACGGGGTGAGAAAAAAGCATCAGTGTGGTGTCATCCACCTTCCTGATTATCTGCACTGACACAAGTGTACTTGAGTTTCATTTCCCTGATTAATTCTTACAAATTCTTTTATATCTCTCTTTTAAAAATTTGCAACATACTAATGAGGTCTAATACATAATAAGTATTTATCTTCAAGCAAAAGAATTAGCTACTTTCGTGTAGTTAGAGAACACCATCTCTCTGCTGCTGACTGATTGAATTTTTTTTTTTTTTTATCCCCCCTTCTCTTTTCAGAATGTAAATCAGTTTTGTAGTGGGAATCCTCTGGGAACTGACCCATTTTAAAGGCCATAAAATGTGGTCAACTTAAGTTAATGAGGATAACAGATAGTGTGTGAATGGGTATTGTAGCTCATATTTTTGGAGGGTGAGCAATCTATTGAATTAGTAATAGGTCCATTTATCACTTAAGAAAATGGCCTGGAATTGCAGCATATCTCAGTGTGCTGAAGTGTCCTTTCTGTTGTTCCTTGGTGCTTTCATTTTCTTCTTCAGATCTAAGCATAAGATTTCAGAAAAGCAGCGTGATATTTGGAGGTGGAAAAATATTTCATTGCTGGCACGGCCTGCCGAATGAAATTGAGGCCAGTCCTACGATCCTCCTCGATTTTTTTTACATGTCGGCAAGTGCTGTGGGTGAAGCTGGCTGTAGGGAAGCAGGCTGCTGCTGCCAGTATTCAAGGTTAATAAAACAACACCCTTGATTTGGAAACTAGCCAGTTAATAGGCTTTACCAGACTTCTTGTTATTGAAAATGAAATAATACGCAGTAGCCTACGGGGCAGCGGTCTCCATCTGACCTGGCAGCCTGGTGGCACGTTGATCAGCCTGGTCCTTCGCTCCCACGCCGGGGCTCGGCTCGCAGCATCCGCAGAGATGCTGAATTCCTCCATAGGAGGGTTCATCCCGCTTGGAGGAGGGTGTGAAGAGGTTGAAGATACTCTCTGCCAACAGAAATTTTTTAGTTTTAACCAGGTGGAAGCATGGCTGAGTGATGAGCAGCGCGAGGGAGCCCTGGCACGCCTGTCCTGCTGATCAAAACCCATTTGGATATGTTATTGTAAATCATAAGCATAAACAATCTGCTGGCCAGCTGGACTCGGGATACTGATGGTGCTGGTGGTACTGAACTGGAGGCTCTGTGGTGTAGAGGTCTTTCCTCATTTTCTGATTTTTGTTTTGTTTCTGTCAGCAGCAGTGGCATTAACCGAAGGAAGCAGGTGGTCTCACTTTCTGAGTTTCCACTAGCAGTTGGTTTTGCCTTTGTGCTAACAAATAATACTTTTGTGCTCATGTCTCAGTTTTCAGTTAGAATTGTGGAAGAAAAAAAAACTTCATCTTCCACCGAGTGTTTGTTTTACTTCAGTCTTAAAAATTCCTATTCATTTTGGGACTTCTTAATCATAAGGGTCCTCAGGATTGGAGTCATTGTCCAACCACGTCAGGAAGCCCTCGGTGTCCAGGTTAGTCTGGTACATTGGAGAAGCTCAGCACTTGTTTTAATTTCTGTGATCCTGTAAGACTGAATGCAGGGGAAAAAAGGAAATAATACATTTATTGAAGTAGTTCGTGTACTATAGCACAAGTACGAAAATTAAAAATGTCATCGACGTGATTTGGGCTATTTAATAGAGTACCTGGACAAAACCAAACTTTCTTTCTTCTGGAAGCCTTTTGTATAATTTAGGAGCAACATTATTGCTAACTAGAAATCCATATTTTATGCTAGGTGAAGAAGGGCTTCTATATCCAGTGTCTTACTATTTTTTTTTTTTGATGATACTAACCGGCCTGTTTAACAGGTGGGGATTTTTGTTTTAATTTTTCTCTGCCTGCATGCCAAGTGTGTGTGTGTGTGTGTGTATATACATATATATATATATATATATTTATTTATATTTATATTCACATCCTTATATAATTGTGCTTAAAGCGATGCTGCTACTAGATAATCTTTATTCATTGTCCCGTGCCTCTGCAAACACGTAGTAAAATTCTAGTGAAAAGTGTGGTTGTCTCTTACTAGGGGAACTCTGCTTTTCTGCTTTCTTTTATGACAACACTCTAGTGTGAGGTTCACTCTTCTTTTTTAGCTGTTGTATCTTTAACCTGTGTTGTCAGTGTATGGGTTTTTTTTTTCTCTATGGAATTAAAAATAACCCACAAGGCAAGCCCAGCTGCTTGCACCTTCCTCTGACCTCAGATAGAGTTCGCTGTGTGGAAAAAGCAACGCGGAAAGTAGATGTGATCTTGCTTTTGTGATGGTTTAGATATTTTGGTTATATTGTTCCTGTCTGTTAAGTCTTTCTGGTTTTCATTCCTTTATACTTTTTGAATTTTAAGAGAGAATTTTTGGATTATTTTTGAGATAATTTACCTGAGTATGTGAAATGAGGGCTATGTAAAACCACACAGAGGTTCTTCTCCTGTCCCAGTACTAAAGTTTATGTTTAGGATTTTCACGTGAAATTATTTTTTTTTGGAAAAAAAAAATAATTGAAGACAGTAGAAATTCCTATACAGTAAACAGTAGAGGAGCTTCTTGCCTGACTGCAGCCTATTTGCATGCATGTCTGTTCTGCTTCCTGCTAGGAGATATTTTTCCAAAACATCAGAAGGAAATGGGAAAGGATGAGAGTGCTTTTTATAGAAAAAAGGGATAATAACTAGCGGCACAAAAAGGCTTCGTATTGGCTTTTACTAGCAAGATAAATTTATCTAATTTTTAATGTTTAGTCACAAACAACACTGAACAACGAGATATGAATCAAGTTGCAGTTATTTTTTCATAATCTGTTGGTAGCAGTTAGAAGTCAGTATGACATAGGTGAGGTAGCTGTTTATAAAAAGCTGGACTATTTAAAGTTGTTTAGCTGTGATTGGTACTAGAAATGAGTTACTCTTTTTAAAATTACACCAATAAAAATAGGATATATATATTCAGTGCCTTTACCAACTTGTACATACTCAGAGAAATGGTATCTTCTGCGTTGAAAATACACGCGAAACAAGCAGTGTCTGTGACTTGTGTGATATGTGTGGGTGCAAAAGGGTTTCTACTGGTGAGTAACACTGTTAGCCTTTTTTTTTTTTTTAAAAAAAAAAAACAAAACCAACACTGTTTCCTGGAAGGAAACCGTGGCCTCCAGCTCATTGTAATAACGTAGTTCTGAGACACGCAGCAGTGGTTCTCTGAAACGTCTGCAGTTGTTTTCTCAAGAAAAGTTTAACTGCTCTGAACTTATGTTTGTTCCTTCCTCATGAGCTTCATACGGCTCCATCGGCTTTCAGTGATATGGAAGAACTGGATGTTTAACCAAGAGCCTGAACATGTGTTTCAGGTGGAGAACTCCAAAGACAATGAGGAAAGCATCTTGCAAAGAGAAGTCCCGCTCAGGCAGTCCCGACGGAGGTTTAGGAAGATCAACCAGAGGGGCGAGCGTCAGACCATCACGGACAACGTGGATTCCAGCAGCTACCTGTCGGTGAGTCTGCTCTCCCTTGGCCCAGCTCCTCGGCATCGTGCCGTCTACGCGGCTGGCTGGCCATCTGTGGGACTGAGAAATGCTGGTGAAATGAAATAGTCCGTGTTTGTCACTTGAGAATCCACTTTTTTTTTTTTCCCTCCCATGTTGGTGAACAGTAGAGTGCTTTTGGATTTGAACACCGTAGGTGGAAGTGAAGATTCAGGCACTAGTTACAATAGAGGTGTTTTGGTTTAGGGATTTTCAGTTGAGCACTATAACTAAATAACGTGTTGGCTGGACAGACAAATGGTCATTATTGGGTTTTTGTTGGTTTTTCCTGGAGTTCTTTTGGCAAATATGTAAGAATTGGTGGTTTTCTTTTTTTGGTTTTTTTTTTCTTTTCTTCTTAATAAATTTGAACTATGGTTTGCAATGGGGTCAGTCATGAATGCAGTTCAGTACTGTATTGACACCGTCACATTTATTTGCTTAAAAATAGCATGGTGGTAATTCAAGCATCAAAAAGTAATGGCAACTCATTTGCTAGTCTTAAATAACATCACAGACTATATAATTGCGCTGCGTGAAGACACATGTGGTTTTAAGGCCACGGTGCTTTTATAAAAGTTTCTCATACAAACTTCCTGCTTGGTGGCAGGATATCCGTGTGATCTAGACAAATTATTTAATTGAAAATATTTATTCTGGATACTTTAAATTTGATTTGAAAATCAAAGGTTAAATAACAGTGCTAATGTTGAAGTACACAAACCTTGAGTAGTGTTTGTGCCCAGAAAAGAAAAAAACAAATTCTGTTTACCCCCCTCCCCCTTTTTTTTTTTTTTTTTTTTCCATCTTCCTTTTCATCTCCCCAAAAGGTACAAAGCCTCACTTGGTTGGTACACTTCAAAATACCTGATGGGTGCAGTTAGATGTAAACTTAAAATTATTTCCTCTGTTTCGGAATAAACTGCTGTGTTTTTTCTGCCTGTTGGTAGCTGTTGGATCACAGGTGGGGATTTTAGACTCTCCACAGCATTAGCATGTCTGTGAGGAGCGGTTACTGTGGCGTTTGTCTTGTAAGCAAAATTGCTCTTGTTGCTGTGACAGGAAGAGAATATGCTGCTTGAAGTTTAACATCCTCTGCCATCTCATTTCAAGAAAATGTCACGTGTTGGATTTTATCATTAGTAAGTCATTAAATTAGTTATGGACGGAATGAGATGTTGGAGCCTCGTACTCCGGGCAGTCGTGCATAAGGCTTTATTAGGAATTAAATTCCAATCTGTGTGTGACAAAACCTCTCTCTGGTGTTTTGTGACTGTGAATAAGCACACAGAAAATAATTCTCAGGCTTCCGTGCTAAGAGGAGGAGAAACCCAGGAGCATCCCGTGCTGGTGCTCCGGTGCAGCTTGCCTGGAGGGGCTTGTGAGAAGGGACTCGGCACCTTTGGTCTAAGAAAGGCCAAGTTATACGGCCTCTGGGAGGATTTTGGAGGTTGTCAGCTACGGATGCAAAGAGTCAGCGTGGTGCACTTGCAGGATTGTGATTAGCCAACAAATGATGTCCTCGTTAGGATTTTTTTTTTTTTTTCATGTGGGTTTATTTCTTTGTTACCAATGACACAGAACGCATCCCTGTCTCTGCATGTAAAGCTGCTCGTTGCAAACCTGATGGCTTCCTCAGAGTTATGAATATATCTATTTTGATCAGCATTTGATGAGAAACAGTATAAACTTCATATATCAACAGCACATTCCTAAATCTGTTTTTGTCAGTTAATTAGGAATATATATAAAAAGTCCTGTTAAGGCTCCTAGGTGTTTTCCTGGATGAGTGAGTGCTAAGTAGCAAGGCGTAAACAACTACCTCTCTGATGGAAAATCTGCAAGCTGTTGGGTTTTCAGCCATCTGAATTGAAATACCGATCCTTGTTTGGTAGACTGCAAGCTCCTAACTGGAAGGCGTCACACTCGCGGTACATGGTGTAGCGAAAAGTAATTTCTAACTCAACAGATGACTAAAAAAAAAAAATCAAAACATGATAACCAGCTGTCTGTTTGACAAGTAAACAGAAATTGGGTGCCTATATTTTTCCATATTCCATTACAAGCTGATAAAATAATGACTTTTTCTGCGATACGGTTTGTTCTGCGCGTAGGTTTAACTCGTACCTGCGTGAGTCTGCTCGTACGTGGCTGTTGGTTCCCAATGGGCTTGAAAAACCAGGCTTTATAATGTCACCCTTCAGGTCAGGCCATGTGCGAACGGGCAGGGTAAGGAGGAGGGGTTTTGAATGAAACTTTTATTTGACACGAACTTGCAATAGCGTTTTCTGCCAGAGTGGGAAAACTGTTTACAAACTCGCCAGCAGATTTCCTCTCTGGCATAATGCTAATGAATAACCGCAGTGTTGTATTTCACTCTCCAGCCTGTTGCTAAATGCTCTTTGACAGATGCTGAATGGAGCCTGACAGACCTTTTGTGAGCCCTGCTTGCTCAGGGAGGGCTCGGGGCTGCGCAGGCAGGCTGCAGGGACTTGGGTCGGGCTCCGGCAGTGTGATGTTGGAGTACTCAACACGACACCGTTGAAGTTTTTAAATGCCTGAGCTCTCCGACACCAGCAGTTTTATGCTTTCTAAAGAAAACTTAGATCCTGCAGGTATTGAAATTCGGTGTTATTTCATCCCACCTCACAATTTGTCCTTTCATGATTAAATAGAAGTTTTCTTTTGTTTGCTTTTAAGGGGAATTACCCATGCAATCTCCATTATCTCCTTAAAACGTAAATCTCTGTGCGTTAAATAGCCGATGATTGGTATTTATGATTAAGGTTAATCTTTGGTTTTATAAAACATTAACCGTTGGGTTGTGACATGAGCTTGCATCTACTTCTCACGTGGACCTCCCTGCTAGTTATTGCTGGAACTCATTCTGTAGAAATCCCTGTCATTGGCCGTGAAATAAAGATTTGTATGCAGATACTTTAATATTTTAAATGCTTGTTACCCTCTTTGAAGCTCTTCCTTTCTCTTACGCCACTTACTTAATTAAAAGAACACTAGTACTTAATTTAACTGTTTAGGATAGTTGACATTCAAATGATTGTGGGTATCTTCAAAATGTGGGGATTTGTGGTTTTTTTTTTGTTTTTTTTTTTTTTTCCCTTGAATGAACTAATGTTAAAAATGGATCATCTGGTTGGTTCCTTTGGTGAAGCAGTTACTTTTTAGATTCCTTTACTAGGTTTTTGTGGTTCATCGTGCATTGTTGTTTCACAAGAGCACTGGTCTCCTGCGGAATAAGTATTTTTTTTTTTTTTTTTTTTATTCCTTTCGGTAAAATACAGTGAACATATGCTGACAGTGATCGTTCTTCTCACTCAAACCGAACAGGTTTATATTTCTGTTTATATCTTCAAAGTGCACAGTGATGTGAATTTGTTCTTGCGATGCATATGCAAGGAAGTATGTTTGACTCGCTCTCGTGAGGTAGGTGAGCAATAGCCGTGCCAGGGTGCGTGGTAGCCATGTCAAGGTTCTGCTGCTGCTGGGTTTTCCCTTGTACAGCACAGCTAACCTACAGGATCCTGAATATAAATGTCTGTTTGGCAAAACACTTCTCAAATGTGTTTTTTTTTTTCTCCAGGATGCAGAGTAGCACTGCTGCCCACAAGGTGAGGGAGGAGGTGGCTCTGTCGTGGCGGGGTGTCATGTGCGGAGGCCACGGTTGCATCCCGAGTGCGTGCGGCCGGCTGTCTGCCCGGGGCAGGTCTGCACATCCCCAGAGTTACAGGGGATCGCTTGATCCCTCAGCATTTCTGCCTCTGTTGCCTTTTCATTTTCTAATAACTCTCAGCATCTTGTACGACCCCCACCCCCAGTGACATCCTGACTGGGGAGGGGGGGAGGAAGTGAGGCTGGAGTCATTTGGAGAAAGCTCTTGCTCAAATTGAGCAGATTAGAAAGAAATGTGCCAGTGTTTTTAATTATGCGTGCTCTTGCTTCAAATCTGACTTGTTAGCACAATTGCTCATCTTTTTGGAGATGTGCCCTCTGTGCATATAGCTGTCTGTAGCGTCGATACGGATCCAGACAGGAACTAGGGTCACACAGCAGGGCGTTATCACCGCAGAGATAAATACTTAGTCATTTCTAGTTCGTGGTCTAGTTCTCAACCCACTAAGTAATGCCACCATATTTCTTCATTACAAAAGAAAAAAGTAATTGTTCAGTGAGGTCCCAAACACTTGAGACCGTACAGCAGGTGCTTACAAAGCTAATGCTTACACAGCCAGGGTAATGACAGATGATTTTTTTTTTTTTATGTTAATGCTTTTAGGAGAAAATGTTTAAGGGTAGTTCTGGTGCTTTATAAAAGGTAAATTGCTGTTTTGATCTTGGATCAAGTAATCGGAAAGTAAATGGTTCCAAGCATTTAATCTTCACAATTAAAAAGTAAAACCTGAGGTACTAAGTTTTGCACTTACATTTCTTACAGTGATCAAAACCAAATGAGGTTTAACAATTTGATACAAATTTCTGCATGACTTTCAAACCTGTAAAATCATCTCTCTCTTCATTTGAATAAGATTTTTCCAATTTATTAACAACATACATTTTTGATGGTTCTCTTCCTTTTTGAAATGATTTTTTTAAAAAAATTTTTAAAATGAAGGAATATTTGTATTTTTAAAAATAGTGCATATGTGATGTAATGCATCTTCCTATGGAGTTGTGACATTTCGAATTTTTCAATTGTTAGTTCATTGTAGAGCAGCATAAAGAATTCTGTACCAAACTTTTAGCAGTAATCGCCTTTCTCAGGGATGCAAATTTACTTTTTTTTTTTTTTTTAAATCTCTTGTAAGAGGATGATGATGTTTAAAAGATTTATTATAATATTAAGTTTTACAGACAGTATCTTAATACTTGCATCATGTAAAAATTTTCCTGGAGCCTTGTAGAAGCATTTATCTTCAGAGAAGTCTGTCACTGAAGACTGCTTGAGTGGCAAG